GTTTATTAGCGTTTTCGAAAAAATTCTGCTTAGCTATTTTCATATGTTTAGCCAATTCATTTGTTTCTAGAAGATTCAATTTATGTTTTAAAGCAGGGGTTCACAAACTTTTTCACCAGGGGGCGAGTTGAAAGGTGCCGGTGCTGGGTGCAGGCTGGAAAGGTGGTGCCGGCAATGCATGCGGCCCAGCGAGGGGGCGGGGGTGGCGCGTGCAGGTGCACGCGCTGAGCTGGGGGCAGGGCGTGTGGCGAGGCAAGGCAAAGAGGCATGTGGCGCATGCCGTGAGGGGAGGGGAGGTGGGGTTGGGCATGTGCCGGGAGGCGGGTGCACGAGGCAGCAGCTTGTTTGCTTGGAGATTGTTTTCACCGAGCGAGCAAACTGCTGCCTTCCCGCGCACGGGACGAGGTGGGCGGCAGCGGGCACGCGCGTGGTGGGTCCAAATGGGCATGGCAGGCCAGATAAATGGGCATGGAGGGCCAGATCCGGCCCCTGGGCCATAGTTTGAGGACCTATGTTTTAAAGTATTCATCTGTATCTTGAGTTCTTTTTTTGATGGATCTTTCTGTAATTCCTGTTCAAGCTTCGTCAACTCATCTATTAATTTAAATCGTTGTTGTTTTTTCATCTTTTTTTGCTGTATAAGTTATAATCAGTCCTCTGACATAGGCTTTAGCAGTGTCCCAAACATTTTGTTAAAGTTCTACTTCTTCCTTCTACTTTATTTTCTTGAAAGAAGAACTTTAGTTCCTTTGTTATTTCTTCTTTAAAGTTTTTATCTTTTAATAAATATTTGTTAAGTGTCCATCTAGGCATTTTTGGTATTCCTTTCAAGGTCATGGTTATAGGATTATGATCAGCCCACACATTTGTGTCTATTTCAACTTCTAACAAATCTGGAATTAGGTCTGGAGTTACCCAGATCATATCAGTTCTAGACTATGACCTATGTCTGTTCGAATAAAAAGTGTATTTGGCTGTGGTTGTGTTTTTATGTCTCCAGGGGTCTATAAGTCTAAATTCCTCTAGTTAATTAAAGAAGGATTTTGGAAGTATTCTCCTTCCTCTCGTCCCATTAGTATCACTCTTACGGTCCATTTTTTTGGTCAACAGTTGCATTGAAATCTCCTATTAAGCAGAGTTTGGTATTCAGTTTGTAAAAGTAAGGTATGCAATTTTTAATAAAAAGCTTCCTGTTGGTCATTAGGTGCATAGATTGCTACCAAAAGTACCTTCTTTTGTTCTATTGTCACCTTGACCAATAAAATTCTACCGTCTTCATCTGAAAAAATATAAGGCCAGACTTCTTTTCTTTTGATGGGCCAAAGATATAAATATCTTGCCAAGTTTTGAACATTCCAGAAGTTTATGATGTTGTCTTTTTATGTGTGTTTCTTGTAGACAAATTACATCTAATTTAATTTTTGAAGTTGAGAAAAAAATTCTTTCCTGCTTAGAAGATGAATTTAATCCATTTATGTTCACAGAAAGTAATTCAATTCTTCCTTCCATTTTGAGATCCATATTTATTTATTTATATATTTACCTATTTATATTTAGGTTTCACACTTCTAACTTTTTTCTTTTTGCTCTGGTAGCTGTTCATCTCCTTGTTGTTCTAAAATTGCTATTTCTCCTTCTTCTGGAAGGTAGAGCATTGCAGCCACTGCCCCGCCATTTTTCCTTTTCTCCTTTTCTTCAGTCTGCTCTTCATCTTCAAATGAACTTCTAAAATTTTCATAGAATTCTTGGGCCTTGAAGGTTGAATCCAATCTAAATCTTGTAGAATTCCAAGTAAAAAGTATCCCTTCTGGTAATAGCCATCTGAACATGGTTCCTTTTTCCATCAACTTAAAAGTGAGGAATTGATACTTCTTCCGTCCTTCTCTAATTCTCCAGGGTATTTGTTTCAGAACAGTTATATCGTTTTGGTCATATTTTAATGGTTGGTTGTGTGAAATTTTAAGAACATTATCTCTTATAGACCTTTTTGTGAATTTAATGTGGACTTCTCTCGGAAGTTTATGTCTTCTTACATAGCTTGAGTTTACTCTGTAAACCAAGTCAATTTCATTATCAATCTCTTCCTTTTCAAGGCCGAGAACATTGGCTAACATAGTATTTCTTAAATCACTTAGGTCTTCATTTTTTGTCTCTGGTATATTCTGCAGTCATAAGTAGTTGGATGCCTTCTCCATCTGCAATATAGCAACTGAGTCCCATGATGTCTTATTTGTTTGTGTTAACTGTTATATTTCTTTATCAATCTTTTCAGTTTTCTTTTATCATCAGTCTTCTTTCCCACTTCTTGTATTTTTTGTTCACCCTGTACTAAGTCGAATATCTGTAAATTGGGTATTTATATTCACAACGTGACTATCCAGTTTATCCAGTCTTTCATTTTGTTCTGAGGCCCATTTTTGAATGGACTCTTGCATTGCTAAGAGTGTTATCTGTAAGTCCTTCTGAATTTTTTCCTGTTGAATCAAGTCTGAAGGTTTTGGTTGGCGTGTTGGACTCTGACTTGAGGATGAGGGTGCAGATGCTGATGAGTAAGGTTTTTTCATGTTGAAAAAAATTGAATTCTGGATTCTAAAGGAAGCAAAAGCCAAATGTAGCCAAACATGTTCCCTGGATTTTAGGAAAGCCAGTTTTAATGTACTCAGAACAATGATAAATGAAGGCCCATGGAAAGTGACTCTAATGAGAGAAGGAGTCCAAGATGGGTGGGATTTTTTTTTTTTTAAAGAAATTCTAAAGGCGCAATTGCAAACAATTCCAACAAGGAAAAGGGGTAAAAGACTTCCATGTGGCTTCACAAAAATCTTAAGAGATGGTCTGAAAACAAAAACATGTACAGGAAGACCATGTTCAGGAAGTGGAAAGAAGACGAGGCTGCAAAGGAAGACTACAAGCAGGTAGCATGGAATCGTAGGGATGATGTCAGGAAGGTGAAAGCTAGGAAAGAACTGAGGCTAGTGAGGGATGCTAGCTAGTAAGGGATGAGGGATGAACAAAAAAGCCTTCTTCAGATAGGTCCAATGTAAAAGACAGAGGAAAGAAATGGGGGTTCAACTACTCACAGCATATGGCAAATTGAAAACAGATGAGCCTTCAAAAAAAAAAAAAAGGCAGAAATGCTTGATTCCTACATTGGATCTGTATTCTTCCAAAAGAAGATCAATGACCTTCCTAATGAAGCAGAAGTACAAGCTGAAGGAGCAGGATAGCAGCTCAAGATTCCTAGGCAAATGATCAAAGATCATCTAATTGGCTTGATCTCCAGGTCTCAAGGAACTCCATCCTAGAGTCATAAAGGAGATGGTGGAAGAACTCAGAATCACTGTATAGTATCTTTGAGAAGTCATGGTGTACAGAAGTGCTAGATGACTGGAGAAGGGCTAATATCCCCATCTTCAACAGAAAATAAAACAAAACCCTACAACCTGGGAACTACAGACCAGTTGGTCTGACATCTATCTCTGGGAAAATATGGATTATAGAGTTAGTTTGCAAACACCTTGAAAACAATGAAGTAATTATGTGACATGAATTTGTCAAGAACAAATCCTGCCAGACTAATCTGATTTCATTTTTTGATTGGATAACTTCCCTGATGGACTGTGGGAATGCTGTGGACATAACCTATCTTGACTTCAGCAAAGCTTTTGACAAAGTGCCCCATGAACGCCTGCTTAGCAAACTAGGGAAAAGTCAAATAGATCCACAGTTGCCTATTAGCTAAGGTGCCAATTAACTAATTTGCACAGAGTTGCAGAAGAGTGGAGGAGAAATAAGATAAAGGATGGATTTGGTAATACAAGTGCAGGGACCAAAACTGGGGTAGGAGGAGCTAAAGGAGTGCCACAAATGTGAGGTGGGCATTAACTCCTCTTGGTTATGTGATCCTTAGTTTTAAGCATGGTGTATGTTTTAAGTGGCTCTCTCTGAGAGCCAATACAGTATAGTGGTTAAGAGTGTAGGACTGGGAATCAGGAGATTCTGGGTCCCCACTCATCCATTGAGCTAGCTCAACTTTGGGCCTGTCGCAGACTCTCAGCCTGACCTACTTCACAGGGTTGTTGTTGTGAGAATAAGGTTGATAGATGTAAACTGCCTTGCGCTCATTGAAAGGAGAAAAGGCAGGATATAAATAATAATGAATAATTATATAAATATTGCTTTTCAGTGTTCTTTTCCCTTTCAAAACTTCCAGGACCGTTCAGCTAGCCAAGAAAAGAGAAAGTAGTATCTTCCCACCACTTTCCATGGCTTCTTTTAAACTGCAGTTTCCTGGCAGTTTTAAAAAATGCCCTGAGAAGGGAGCTGCATGGATCAGAGTGAATGGGGCACCATGAAGTGGCAGGCAGAGAAACCAAAGATTACATTGCTAAAGGGAAGTTAAAGAGCATGTGAGTGAATGTGAATGCACATTTCCTGTTTTTAGTGGGGGGGTTTTGCCATGTTTTCCACCTTTATTGGTGCTTTTTAATTGGCAATTGGTCCCTAGTAACTATACACAAATCACCCCATATTAAGTCTGTCATCTGCTCCACTTCACAGCTCTTTGAAAGCTGGATAAGAAAACTGATTAGGTAAGATCACACATATTAGCTGTAAAAGCATAGTTTTAAAAGACCAAGTACATACATTTACCAAAAAAATAGTAACAAAAATACAACCCCAAGTGTGCCTTTCTGTGCCTCTGAAAAATGAAATTTTAAATTGGTCTCAAATAGGGAAGCAGTTGGTAGAGACATGAAAATAAACCAGGTTCTGCCATAAAAGACACTGGGCTATGTGTACAGAGCTGGCTGGAAGACTGACGTGTGAAGGAAACTTGAGAATAACCCATGGCAAGTCCAATTATCAGTTGGGCATATCATGGGTGGTTTAGTGAATAGCCAACTCCACATGACTATTCACATGGTGGCTTGGCTCAACATAAACATGCACCCAGTAAGTCCAGTTTTTCTTTTTCAACTTGAATGCCTATTTTTCAGGGTGCCATTTCTGCTGTGTTGACCAAATGTTCAAAAGATCAAGGCTTTATTCCAGTGAACAAGAATTTATGGTGAGTAGAATGAAAAGTTAGTTTATTATGTATAGTGGAATTTGCTTGACAATTCTTGAACTGTCTTCTGAAATTCCTGCAGGTCAATCTCATATGTGACAACACTAAGCAGCTTTGCCTTTGTACTGCTACTGTCAATGTATTACCTTGTAGATGTTAAGAAGGTGTGGTCAGGTGCTCCATTTTTCTATCCAGGTGAGTACACTTTAAAGAAAAATATTCTAAGTTCAACTTGTTAACTATGGAGATCTAAGGGACAAAGTTTCGCTCCCACTTTGGTGGCCTATTTTTGCCCTTTAAAAGTTGAGGTAGGGCTCTCACTTTATTTTATAATCTTGTGGCCAGTTTCTAAACAAGTAACTCTACCTAAATTGATTTTGAAAATGCATCTGTTTGTCAAATTTAGTGTTCCAGATTGGGCAGCTTTCCCCATCTTCTCGCCACCTCCCACGTATAGCTCACTCCACAGCAGCTTGTTGGATTATGGGTTTTACACTGGCTGGCTTTCTTTCTGTCCTGCAGTATCACTAATCAGGCTCTGTAATCTACTGGTTCCTACTATATAGTATGGTTCTGATATACAATTGTCTTCCTGATAGTATGTTTGGTCTCTTTAAAGGTATGAACTCCATTCTCGTCTATGTTGGGCATGAAATATTTGAAAACTACTTTCCTTTTAAATGGAAGCTGCAGGATACACAATCTCATGGTGAACATTTGGCTCAGAACCTAATTGCTACATCAGTATGGGTTATCATATCCTATGGACTCTACAGGAAAAGAATATTCTGGAAAATCTAACTGGATCATCTATAGGTCAAAAAATGGGACATGAGTACACTGGAATGTCCTCATCATATTGATGCTACTTTAAAAAAAGGGATCATACATTTGATTTACATTTCAAGTCATCTTGAACTGAAACATGCATATTTATGTTTGCTGACTGACTTGCCGTTTAGTTAAAACAAAGCTTTGTTTAAACTTTTACCTAGAGATTTTTGTTTTATTCCATTTCTTGATCCTCACCCCTTGGCAATTTTGAAGTATTTTCAAAGGCAAGTAGTTATTCTCTTTAAGGCTTTACTACAAGCTTGCCTCATAAAAACATGACAACCCCTATTTGAAATGTAAAAATCCATACGCACATTACTACATAGCTATTGTCAGAACCTGCCAGAACTTGAACAGATATACTTTGTTCTTAATCTCTAAAAGCAGAGTATAAAGAAGTAAGGTCACTAATGGTTGAGAAACTGAGGAGTCTTGGAAAAGACCAATGCACTCTCCGATGGATTAGGGCATGTTGACTGAGTGAAAACAGAGGGTAACCATTAGTGGGGAATCATCAGGCTGGCGGCCAGTGACAAGCGGGGTCCCCCAGGGCTCTGTTCTGGGGCCCATCCTGTTTAATCTTTTCATTAATGACATGGAAGAAGGGGTGAACTGATCAAATTCACAGACAACAGTAAAAGTGGGGCAGTGGCCACAACTGAGGAGCAGGTACTCCAGAGCCAAAAGGAACTGAACAGACTATGGAAGTGGGCAGGAGACAACAGGATGGCATTCAATGTGGATAAGTGCAAGTTCTTGAACTTGGGGCATAGGAATGGGTGTCATAAGTACAGGTTAGGGGACAAGTGACTGGAGAGCAGCACTTGTGAAAGGGATCTCGGGATGCTGGTTGCCTGCAGGCTGAACAAGAGTCAGCAGTGTGATGGAGTAGTTAAGAGGGCGGACGCCACCCTAGGTTGCATAGCCAGAAGTGTGGCTTCTAGATCGAGAGAGGTATTACTGCCATTCTATACGACTCTGGTGCGCCCACAACTGGAGTAGTGTGTTCAGTTTTGGGCCCCTCGTTACAGGAAAGATATAACCAGGTTAGAGTCAGTGCAGTGTAAGGCCCCAAAGTTGGTGGCCAGTTTGCAGAGGATGCTGTATGATGCGAGATTGAGGGAACTGGCTTTCTTCAGCCAGGAGGAGACTCAGAGGGGATCTGCTAGTGACATACAGGTATGTGGGGGAATGTCACACAGAGGTGGGTAGAGACCTGTTCTCCCCTGCAGAGGAAGGCAGGACGCACTCCAATGGAGCAAAGCTTAGGGAACCGAGGTTCAATTTAGATGCCAAGAAGTACTTCCTGACAGTTAGGACCACGAGGGTATGGAATGGGCTTCCACGGGAGGTGGTTGAGGCCCCATCAGTGAGGGTGTTCAAAGATAGGCTGGACATGCACATGGTGGGCAAGTCGTGAACGGAGCCGGCTGGAGCCAGGGGGGGTCAGACTAGATGGCCGGGGAGATCCCTTCTGACTTGCTGTGTTTCTATGCAGTTATAAGCATGGCTCTACTCCCAGGTTGGGTTTGTCAGACCTGGAAGACTGCCTGTGCAATGGCCTACTCTTGGCATTTCCTTTCTGATTCTTCTGCCTTTCTGCATCTGTTACTAGCCCATTTACTACCTTCTTAAATTCTGAAGCACACTTCCCACACGTCAAGATCTGGCTAGCACACTCCCACTTAGTAAGGAGTCCCCTACAACTTCTTCAGCCAGTGGAGAGAGCAAGCCATGCCTCAGCAGACGCCTCTCTGGCAGCAGCCCCCTGGCCATGTCTGACCCCAGGCCAGGCTTTTCAAGCAGAGGGGGTGGTGTCGGTGGTGCCAGCCACTATGTTTCCTCCATGTCTCCCCAGCTGGTTCCCCAGTGCCCCCGCTTCTTGCTCTCTGGAGGGGGACTGTTCCCAGTTCACCTTGAGGACCTCCTTGGCAATGTCCAGGAACTGCTCCCCCTCCCTTATCTCTTGGAGGAAGGCAATGGCATCTTCTACACCCTTCACCTCCTTCTCAAGAGGGACACAATCTTGCACTGAGTGCAAGTGTATTCTGGGGAGGTAGACAAAGCTGGGGGAGGTGCCCCAGGTAACCGCAACACCTGCCACTCCTGCCATGGTCTTCTCCTGGTCCAGCATAGAGCACCCTGCAGTGAGCCAAATATTTATTCCACCTCCACCCACAGCTTGTCTTGCCTACACTGTCCTCACTTGAAGCTGGATACCCTGGATACCATTTCCTCAGGGTGGATACTCTGTTCCCTCAGGGAAGACCAAGTCCACAGGAAAGGGGACCTGGGCTACTTGGGTCACAACTAAGGGGTGCAAACAAGAGACAGCACCCTTAGCACATCACCCATCAGCACCACGCCATTGGTACCACCAACACCTGTGCTGGACCCTGCCCACTTTTGCTTCGCCAGGAGTTACACTGGGCCAGCATGCTTCCTGGCTTCCTACCTTTCCTTCCCAGATGCCCTTGCTGCTCTCACACACTCCCCTGGTTTCTTCAGCTCCTCTCTCCACTCTGCTATGGCCCCTGCTACCAGGATTCAAAAGGGTCTATCATGAACAATTGTTATAGATATTCCTTTCTGCATCACATATAACCAACAATTCTTCCCATTTGAAGATTACCAGGAAGAGATTATGGCTACATATTGTGCGCCCACAAAAGCTGTGGCTGCTGCAGGGTGTAAGGCTGCAGCCCAGTATCTTTTAATGAAAATATGGGTTTTAATAATGTTTAATGTTACTGTTTTTACAGTGCCCATCTCAAAGGTTTATCAAAAGGTGCAATGAAGTCTTAAAAGGTATAACAGTGGACAATCCTTTTAAGGTAACTTTGCTTTTCAGCAAGCTAAGCCAAAGACTTCAAGGTAATGAAAATGGGACATGAAGGCAACATCATTGCTATCCTTTCTGCCTGCCCTTTCCTAATATGCTCTGGTAAAGAGTCCATGGTATTCAAGTCAGTGTCTGAAGGAGCAAGATCTTCTCATTGATGCAGAATCTGTGCAACACCATCATCAGGTTTTCCCCACAACGTGACACTTGGCGCTCCATTGCTAGGCGGAAATCCTCCTTCACACCTTTGGTTATTCCCCTAGTAACAGTGTGATGCCTGAAATTATAATACACAGAATAATTAAAGTCATGGCGCTACTATTTCCATTTAAATAACTGAGCATTATGCATCCTGAAAATAGCTATCCAGCTTAATGCAACCCCACTCTTTAAACAGTTATTTAATGAGACTGCCCATTAGGAGTGCCACATCTATATATCTCATTAAATTTTGTAATATATCTCCAATTGATTATAAAAGTATTGAATAATGCCCTAAAAAGCTACATCTTTTTCTCTCTTTGATGCAGTATATAAAGGAACTACAGCTACAAATATCTACTTTCAGCTTTAAATTTGGCCCACAAGGATATTTTTGCTGTTCTATATTAGTGAGGCAAACAGCATGGTACATTAGACTTCTTTTCTAGTGTACATTTTCACCATGGTTGAATGAAAGTAGAATAGGATATGTGCAGGATGTTCCTGGTGGTGTCAGTCAGAATTCTGATCTCTGTCCAAAGACTTGACTAGATACTCTCTATGTCAGTATCCATGAAAAGTTCAGTGGTCTTGAGGACCATCAAGGACAGAAATGAACAGTTCCACTAGCAGTCACAATGCAAGCATTTCCCATAACTAGTAATGCAGCTCCAAGTGCTATCAAAATAACTTACCAGGTTGTGCCATTTTATAATCAAGATTCTCAGTTTTGCTCTAGTTGCTCAGTGCTTTCTCCCAACCATCCCATACTGCTACAGTTGCCCTTGCACTGGATTTTCCCTGCTGATTTTCAGGGAATTTAAGAGGGCCTTGCACTGCTCTTGATTTGTGAAATGCTTTAATATGAAAGGCCAGCAAAACAAAAGAGGGTTCCTTTCAATGGAAATGGGAGCAGAACTTCCATAAAGAGGAAAAAACATGATAAGCTAGGAGTTGTTGCACATCCACCAAGGACTCCTACAGAGCACCTTGTGCTGAATAAAAGAGTGCAGAGCAGCAGCGCTTGGTGAAGAGTTCCAAAATAAGAACAGGCAGGCAACAAGTAGGAAGAAATTATAACCTCTCCCACTCCAAGGAATATTTTTGGTTTATAATCACTTGATCATGTGACCACATTTATCAAAAAACAACACACACTACCAAACAATTGGATATAAATATTAAAAAGTTATTAAAATGGTGTAATTAAGTTCATTTAGCATCCTTAAAATGTTCTAAACTAGTTCACATCTTAGTTCTTAGATATGTGTTGAGCAAGGAGTACATGTGGCAGATTTTTTTAAACCAACAGATTTAATACTGCCTTTTCAATGCCTCCACTTTACTTAAGGTTGGAAATTGTTTTCAACTGCTGGTGGTCAAATTCAGGTCTCGGAGGCAAAGAGAACAAGAGCAAGCAAATATAGTTGTGAGGGAAAGGCACAAAAACCTGGTGGCACCTTATCTAAAGTTGAATATTGCAATAAAAGAATAGACTGCAATGTCCACAAAAATCTAATTGAAGTACGATTAATGTTTAATTATACAGTGATCCACTTAAAAATTGAAGGACATAGATGTGCCAATAACTTATGGAAAAAGAACAAAAATGTTAACAATAGTAACACATGGCTTGCCAAGTGATGCAGGCACAAATGAAGAACAAAAGCATGAATAAAATTACTGGATTAACAAAGGGCTGATAACCATGGGCAGTAAAACATATTGACAAAAAGACAGCACACTATGAGCAGGGATGTTCCCCTGCTTGGTACCTGTCAGCAGTCTGCATGCTGGGCTGTAGTACAGGTATGAATTCCTGCTGCAGTAACCCCAGCGGAGGGCTAGAAGTCCTTTAAAAAACAGCAAACAGCAGCATTCAAACACCCACACCAATTTCCCCTGTGCTACAAAATTGATGCTTCAGAAAAAGACAGAGATACACAAAAAGAAGAGACTACAAATTAAGAGTCTGCACCTTAGTGCAGGCATATGATGTTTTTTTTTTCCTTTACAGATGAAAGCTTCATCTAGTAGCTTAGTGCTCCAAAACAGAGCATTCGAGAAGCCATTGCAGGTTAAAAACCCTAACTATATAATATGTATTTACAAA